CCCCCCCAGGAATGCTGTAGTGAGATTCTTCGCTGCTTCCACGCCGTAGCAACTTGCGCTTCTGTTTCCAGATCCAGCTGATGGGAAGTTTGTTATGTACCATTGCCTCAAGGCAAATCTTTTCCAGAGGGTGAAGGGTGGCTCTTGCTGAGCCCTGGTTACCACACAGTGCATTCTGTAGAAACTGTTGTAAGAGCAACTGCCCCTTACGCTCTTTAATGCTCCTGAAAGAAGAGCTTGAAGACCCTGCTGCAGCCTGGACAGCAGGGAGAGCCAAGCCTGGCTCTCAGGAACGTGTCACTGTCTGGAATTGGGGCTGGCGCTGGGCCTGTCCCTGCTCAGGAGCAGCCCTGCTCCCCTCAAAAGTGGTGAGGCAGCAGCTCAGCACCCAAGTGCTCGTGTTGGCTTTTTGTTTTGTTGTCCTAGCAACGTTCCTCAACCTAATCAGCTTTTCTCGTGAATAAAGTAAACTGACCGTCTTGCTCTTCCTGTTTTGTAGCTTACAGAGATTGAGGAGAGATTAAACTTCCTCTTTTCACCTTCCCCTCCTCCCTCTTCTGCACTCCTAAGCTACCAGACTTGGAGGGTTTTGAAGCTTCCAGAAAACAGAGGCTGTAGTCTTCCTTAAAATAATTTACCATGCCAGCAGGGACAGGTTCTGCTAATTATTAGTGTGTAATTGCTGTTGCTGGTGCTCAGATGATCCCTGGTAGTGCTCAGATGATCCCTGGTAGTGCTCAGATGATCCCTGGTAGTGCTCCTGTCTTCGGATTTACCTCGTGTAGTTGTACCCTTTCATGTTACCGTACCTTTCCCCGCGGTACTTGGCAGGCTGGAGGATCTCCAGCGCTAGGCAGGTTGTAGTTTTTGGCAGTGGCAAGGATGAGAACGTGCATGTTCTCAGCTTGGTGGAGGAGCAGAGGGTAGGACCTAGAGATCCTGCTCCCTCGGTGGCTGGACTGCTTTCTCCTCGCTCATGATGCTGAAATAAAGCCATGCCTTACACTAGGATTTTAAACCTTTTATTTTTATACATAAAAATGAGGAGTGGGGATGTCGCTATCTTAAGGGCACTGCTTTCAGCTTCATGTTGGTCGTGTTTGAGGAATGTTCACAGTGGTGGGGGAGACGCAGCAGCCAAGGCTAGGGGCCAGGGGCCTTGACAACCAGGCTGTTGTGGCAGGCCACCGCGATGCCCCCGATGAGGTTCAGGAACTCCTGGAAGTCGAGTTGCCCGTCGCTATTCAAATCGAGTTTCTTCATCATCCTGTCCACCACGCCTGGGTCCTTCTGGTTCTGCAAAAGATGGAAGAGGTGGGAACTGACGTCTGCCTCGAGGAAGAGGTGCCCCTGGCTGAACCCCTCCCTGCCCCAGGTGTGGAACCGGAGCTGCCGAGTTCAGCACCAGCGGAGAGGGCTCGGCAGGAGGTGGCAGAGTTTGCTCAGGTCAACTCTTGCCAGGCCACGCTCCGGCTTCTGGTGGGAGCGAGCTCTACCCCTTCCCCACCCCACGGTGCTTGGTGGGGGCAGAGGCTTTAATCCTCGTCCCGGGGGCCGAAGCGCATGCTACGGGACGCTCTTTGGGCTTGAATTTTGCTCACCTTCGTGAAGGCAGCCAGCTCCGTGTTCATGAAGGCCAGGAACTCCCTCTTGGAGAGCGTGCAGTCGTCCCCTTCGCGCCCCGCGTACCGCTGGAAGACGGCCAGCAGGGACTCGATGCAGCGTTCGGTCTCCGTGGGCTGCAGGAGCAAGAGCAAGTTCAAGGTGAGCGCTGCAGGGAGCTCTGGGTGTGCAGGAGAGCAACCTGACTCCATTTCTGGAGGAAGGCTGGGCTGGGGGGGGCCTCCTGCCTTTTTTTTCCTCCAGGAGTCACCCATGCCCAACCTGTCCAGCTGCATTTTTCTTTGATATTAATTTCTCTGATGCCTTGGCACAGCGCTGCGGTGCAGGAAGGACCCAGAGGACTGGGGAGTGGTTCATGGAAAATCCTCTTAGGGAGCTGTCAGCTCCCATCGGAGGAGTGTCCTGGACTGGGAAAAGCTTGCGCTGCAACCGCAGCGACGTGCTAGGTTTTTTTCCATGCTCTCCTCCAAAAAAGACACAGCGAGGCGAGGAAGGAGGGGGGGATGTGGGGGTCTCTCCCCTCCCCATGGCTCCAGCCTTTGGGGAAGGGCAGTGCAGGGAGAGCTGGGAGGCATCCGCCCTTCCCTGCCTAAATTCGGCATCCTGGGGACTCCCTGCCACTCCCTGCCCCAGCCTCAACTCAGCCTTTTTTGGTTAACGTGAGAGGAGCCGAGTTGCTTCCGCCCTCAGCCGCGGGTCCCCGGCTCTTGCCCCCTCTGCGCCCCCCTACCCTAGCGCTGGGGGGGACGGGATGCTGGAGCCTGAGCTGCAGCCCCGAGCCTGGTGATGGGCATCGGAAGCACCAGTGGGAAAAAGGAGGGGAAGGGAGGGAAAAGGAGGGGAAGGGAACAACACAAATACCTCCCCCCCCTGCACCCCCACACCTTCAGGGAGCCTCTGCCCTCCCTCTCTAGCTCTGCACCCTCTTCCCTTGCCCAGGCCCCATCCCCAGCAGAGATTTAGCTCAGCCCTTGGCACCGGCTGCTCGTTCCCGTGCCAAAGCGCCTCTCGCCGTCGGCTCCGGGGCCGCTTACGGGAAACGTTCCTCTGCCATCACCCTCCTGCCCTTACAGATCCACCTCTCCCTCCCCATCCCAGGGTCCCTGGCTCACTCACCATGGCTGGGGTGTGAGGAGGGGGCTCGGTCCTCGGCACGGCCGCGGTGCGATGTGGCAAAGCAGGAGCCGGGGTGGTTATGAGCCTCAGCCCGCAGCCACCGCCCTTCCCGGCGCAGCCAGCGCCCAGCCCTGACTCAGCCCCTGGGCTGCGTTGGGCAATCACCAGCTCTAACGGCAGATCCGGACGTGCCCGCGGTCCCCAGCTCCGGCTCAGGAATGTGCTGGGCCCCTCCTCTAGGCTCTCCATCCCTTTCCTTCCTCCGTTTTATTCTTTACAGTTATTTACACTCACATTTTCTCCTTCTCACCCATTTTTGCCCCTCGGCCCTTTGCCACTCGTCCCTTTATGGCTCCCTTCATTTCTTCCCCAGGGCTGGGGCTGCGGCTCCCTCGCTGCTGCCATGGAGCATCCTCAGCGTTTCTTTTGCTGTGGTGAAATTTGGGGCTTCCTGGCTTTTCTAACGAGGTCGGCAAAGGCAGATCAGGCAGAGGTGAGCGGGCAGCATTCCCCTGCCCATGCTCCTGGGGTCAGGTCCATGTGTCCCCCCCCCCCCCCTGGGCTTTGAAAACCCCTTGCAACCTTTTCATCTTGTAAAAAAGGGGAAAAGGCGGCCCCGGAGGGCTGGGGTGGGGTGCTGGGACCTGTTTGCAGCCAGGATTTGGCCCCAGCTGCGGAGCGAGAGGCACTTGGAAGGCTGAAAACAGGGAGACATGGAGGTGGAGGAGGGACAGGGCACCCAGAAGGGCGAGTGATGTGCCCCAAGAGCTCAGAGCAGGGAGGATGGGGGCTGCGGGGCTTGGCTGCTCCCCATCCAGCGGGATCCAGGGAAGCCGCCCGGACCCGCGGTGTTTACCCATGTTTGCACAGCCGTCGCGTGGCTACGGCACCCGGCTCCACGCCTTTGCGACCGGCGCTGGCGCAGAATCGCCCGCCCAGGGCCAGATTTCCCTGTGACTCCCAGCTCTGGGCGCTGCTTTGTTGCCCCAAAAGCCTCAAGGGGAGCCTGGAGCGGAGAGGTTGGGGTAACGCGGGCTGCCCCCCCTGCTGCACGGGAGCTGGGATGTGCTCTGGGACAGCTTCCAGGGACGGGGCTCTTCGGGAAATCCCGCTGGAGGCTGTGACTCAGCGCAGAGCCGGAGAAAGGCAAGCAGCAAATCAGGGGGGCAACTGTCCCCAGTATATTATCCTTTCTCAGCCCAATTTCTTGCCCCTAAACTCTCCTTTTTTCCCATATATTGGGGAAAAAAGTGCTTCCTCCCCCCTCCCCCCCTTTCAACCCCTCCCAAGCTGGAAACAGTTCAGTCCATGTAAATCAAAAGGATTTTCCAAACCTGGGAGCTGAGGGCAGGAACCCAGCCGCTCTTCTCCTTGGATTTTGCACTTCCACCTGCATTTTGCAAATTCCTCCTTGTGCTCCCTGGACAACAAAATAGGAGCTGGTCGGAAGGGCGAGTGTAATTTCCCCTTTTGCAAGAGCAAATCCCAGAGGGGGTTGTGGTCCTGGCTGCAGGGGGGGGGCGGTGCAGGAGGTTTCTGTTTCTTGCTGCTGTGTTTGCAGTCAAGGCGTTGGCCCTGTTTGTGGACGGACCATCTGTGCCGCCGTGTTTGTCACCGAGATGCCCGGCCGTCACGTGTGCGAAGGGGACATCGCCGAGAGCATCGCCTCCTGCATCTGCCTGCCCCTGGCTGGGACAGACCCTTCGGAGTCCCTCTGGTACCAGGTTCAAACCATCACAGGGTGGTGGCCCTGGCGAGGTGAGCGGGAAGCCCTGGCTGGTGCCTCCTGAGGCCACATCAGGCTCTGGTGGGCCTGAAATGTCCTTGTTCCTCCAGGCCGGTCCCCGTGACCAGCCAAAGGGCTCTTGTTGCATTTAAAAGCAAGACACAGATGGTGCTGGGGTTGTCCTCGCTTCTCTCCCTGTCTTCTAGCAACTCTGCAGCCCTATCTGCTGTAGAGGGAATTGGTTCTCCCTTGCCCAAGGGAAAGCAAAGGGACTAAAAACTGTTTTTCACGCAGGGAGGGTCATGGATGTCTCTATCTCCAGCCCCGTGAACCATGGGTGAAATCCGGTGAATTTACCGTGCCGTATTGCAGCCTCTCTCATGCCCATGGATCCAGGAGCGCTCCCAGGCACAGGGCAGCCCAGGGGAAAAGGCAGAGGGATCCACGTGGCCAGAAAAATGTGCACCTGGGTGGCTTGGAGAGCTGGCTCTCCCGGCATTTCTCCCACACCAAAGGGGCCACAGCCAAAAGCTGTACCCGTGCCTCAGTGGGACAGCCTACCCTACCAAAAGCCCCACAGACCTTGGGGCTCAGGGCTTTCTTCTCTACTCCAGAGCATGACGTTTGCAATCACTTGCACCAGAGCCCTGGCACCTGCCCTGGACCTAAAATTGCGAACGTCCAGGGGTTTCTCCCACACCAAAGCAGCCACAGCCAAAAGCTGGACCCGTGCCTCAGCGGGACACACTACCCTACCAAAAGCCCCACAGACCTTGGGGCTCAGGGCTTTCTTCTCTACTCCAGGGCCCGACGTTTGCGCTCTAGCTGTGCCAGAGCCCTCGCCCCAGCCCCGTGCGGGCTGCGATGGGAGCCCCTGAAATCATGTGGATCAGTCATGAGGTCCAGAATTTTAGAGGTATGTGGGGTCCTTGACATGTAGTAGGGGGGATTTAGGAGGGTTCACCACCCCTTGCCTGGATTAAGTGCCGGGGATTAGGAGGAATGTGTGATCTGATCTGGGACACTCTCCCACCAGACTGAGGCCCTTTTAGAAATTAGACGTATGGATGGAGGCTGGCAGCAGTCTGTTCAGTCATCAGCTATTTATTCTGATTTTTTCATGCAATACATCAGCCCTTGAGGCTGGAATTGGGATTCTGCTCTGCTGTTAGGGGAGGAGCAGGAAGGTGCAAACAAAACCATGGAGTGTATAAAAGTGTTGGGTTTGGGTTTTTCCGCCCCCCCCTGCCCTGGATTTTCAGGCCCCAGAATAACTCTGATGGAGCTACTGGGATTTTTAATTTATTTATTTTTTTTTCTTGCATTGCACAGCAGAAACGAACAGGAGAGCCAGTCCCGGGGGCTAGGGAGGTGAGAGTGCAGTGAGATGCAGAACAGGCTGGCCATAGGGTAGAAGAGATGACAGGGACATCAAGGATGGGGAGACCCAATTGGAGCAGAAAAGTGACTAAATACCGCGTTAAGGTGGATAGACGTAGTGCAAGAAGGCAGAAGCTGCAGCTCCGAGGGGTAACTCTCTCCCTACCTAGCTGCTGAGGATTTGTTAGATAGAAAAAACCACAAACCCACTTGGACACCCTCACACAGCACCCCATTAACCCTTCTGTGCTGAACACCTCTGTGCCACCACACGGTGACATCCTAAGCTGAAAGCAGAGGGCTGAAGTGATCCTCAAAGAGCCTCAGAGAAGCCCCACCAGCTCCAGGGAGGGAAATTGCCCTTAAGATGCCTTGGCTTCATCTGCAGGAGGATGGCTCGGTGCCTCCTGTGAGACGGAGGGGCCCGGGGGGCCCTGGGTCTGCTTGGTGCAAAGACATGGTTCCTCCTCCTGTTGAGGTTGGGCATTGCTCGCTTGCTGGGGCTTCCTCTTGCTGTTCTCCTCTTGCCATGGCTGGTGGCTCTTCTCCAGTGGGGGAAGCTCTACATCCTCATGGCAGCAGCTCACTTCATCTCTCGGCTGGGGACGGCTCTCTTCGGTGGCTCGCTGGCCTGTCTCCCAAGCTTCCCGTGGCTCTGGAGCCTGGAGCAGGGGTAGGCAGCTCTTGGCCTCCCTGTCCTCACGTTCCCTCCCCTGGCAGCTGGATTTGGGCTCCTGTGGGACCTGCTCCCTGGAAGCTTTTGATCCATCTCCCTGGGGCTGATGCTCCTTCTCTTCTGTGTCGGGCAACTTGGGGTGCTGGCTGTCCCTCCTGTCCTCCTTGGGCTTTGCCTGGCAAGGGTCACCCTTAACACCATCCGTCTCAGAGGCAGAAGCCTGGTGAGCCCCTTCCTTCACCCCCATTTCAGACCTCTCCTGTGGCCCATTGAGATCCCCTGTGTTTTCCTGGGAGCTTGAAGCTGCTGCGCCCCCTTGCCGTGGCAGTTCAGGCTCCCCTGTTTCTTGCTCGTCCCTCTGGGGTGGTGGCTCTGGGTGGTTGCTCCTGTCACATGGGACTGCCAGTGGCTGGGGGGACATGTAGCACTTCTTCACGTAGATGGGTTGCCCTGGGTGGTCAGGATGGTGGCAGATGATTTTGTAGATGGTAGCTTCAGGATTGTTCAAATTCTGGATCACGTGGACCAAGTATGCAATGGTCTGAGGCTCGAAGGACTGAGGGAGGACCTGCACCTCTGGCCGTACATCAGGCTCAGCAGGGATATAAGAGACCCTCATGTCGGTAACCGAAGCCTGCTCTCCTGGGGGGCAGAGATCTCTGTTATCCACCTCCACGGTTTGGTAGAGGCTCTTCTTGTGCGTTCGTCCTTCATCCTCATGTGTCTGACTCCTGTTTGGCTTACGTGCTTCTTCCTCATGTCTGTGGTTGCTCCATTCTTGGCTTTCTGAGGGCTCACAGCAGATGCCCACAGACGGCTCACACTGTAATTCCTTTGCCTGATGGTTCTGCAGAATGTCACTCTCCTGTTCCTCTTCAGGTACCGGGAGGGAGTTTCCAACATATGTCTCTCTGTGGGACCTCATGGCACCTCGCTCTTCCCTTTTGCGTGTCTGGCGGCTGTGGCGCTCATCGACCTCCACCTCCAGCTCCCCTTGGAGATCGATCCTCCTCTCCCGCGTGGGCTCTTCCCTCTCTCTTGCCCGGCGAATCTTCCTCTCACCCTCTGATTCTTCGCGCTCACCCTGACGGTCCCTCCTTTCCACGTCCCCACGGGGCTCTGGGTCCCGGGACACGCGCTGGACTGTCACCTCGGCTTCTTCTGCCACTACATCGGTCTCTCGTGACCTTTCGTACCTCATGGACTCGCGTTCTCTCCTTCCATCGTCGTTGGGCTCACGTGGCCGACAGTCAGGTCTCTCGCGTGTGTCCCTCTGGTTGGTGGTGGCACCTCGCTCTTCCCTTTCGCGTGTCTGGCGGCTGCGGCGCTCATCGACCTCCACCTCCAGCTCCCCTTGGAGATCGATCCTCCTCTCCCGCGTGGGCTCTTCCCTCTCTCTTCCTCGGCGAATCTTCCTCTCACTCTCTGATTCTTCGCGCTCACACTGACGGTCCCTCCTTTCCTTGTCCTCACGGGGCTCTGGGTCCCGGGACACGCGCTGGACCTTCACCTTGGCTTCTTCTGCCACTACATCGGTCTCTCGTGACCTTTCGTACCTCACGGACTCGCGTTCTCTCATTCCATCGTTGTTGGGCTCGCCTGGCCGACAGTCAGGTCTCTCGCGTGTGTCCCTCTGGTTGGTGGTGGCACCTCGCTCTTCCCTTTCGCGTGTCTGGCGGCTGCGGCGCTCATCGACCTCCACCTCCAGCTCCCCTTGGAGATCGATCCTCCTCTCCCGCGTGGGCTCTTCCCTCTCTCTTCCTCGGCGCATCCTCCACTCACCCTCTGATTCTTCGCGCTCACGCTGACGGTCCCTCCTTTCCACGTCCTCACGGGTCTCTGCGTCCCGGGACACGCGCTGGACCGTCACCTCGGCTTCTTCTGCCACTACATCAGTCTCTCGTGACCTTTCGCACCTCA